AAGAGCTGTCCAAGACCATGGGAACCCACCTCTTGCTTCAGCATGACCTGGATGTGAGGCATGGAGTCAAAGGAGATCATTCTGGAGCTTTAAGATTTGATCGCCTAGCAAGCCTCCAGCATGCTTGGGTCTGCAGTGACCCTGTGCATTCCTATAATACTTGCCAGAACAGTTTTGAAATGGTTTGAGGCCTTGCCCTACTCCATGTAGAGCAAGGTTATAGAACTTTCAGAAAATGAGAAAAAAAAAAAAATAAAAAAAAAGAACAAAAAGAAAAATAAAAGAAAAAAAGAAGAAAAAAGAAAAAGAAAAGAAGAAAAAAGAAAAAGACAAAGAGAAAAACAAAGAAAAAAGAAAAAAAAAGATGTGACTGCCCTGCCGAATTTCAGACTTGCTTGGGGCCTGTGACCCCTTTGTTTTGGCCAATGTCTCCCATTTGGAAAGGCTGTATTTACTCAATACCCGTATCTCTCTTGTGTCTAGGAAGTAATTAGCTTGCTTATGATTTTACAGACTCATAGGTGGAAGGGACCTGCTTCGTCTCAGATGAGACTTTGGACTATGGACTTTTGAGTTAATGCTGAAATGAGTTAAGACTTTGGAGGACTGTGGGGAAGGCATGATTGGTTTTGAAATGTGAGAACATGAGATTTGGAGGGACCAGGGGTGGAATGATATGGTTTAGCTGTGTCCCCACCCAGATTTCATCTTGAATTGTACTCCCATAGTTCCCACATGTGGGAAGGACCCGGTGGGAGATAATTTGAATCGTGGGGGCAGTTTCCCCCATATTGTTCTCATGGTAGTGAATAAGTCTTATGAGACCTGTTTTTATCAGGGGTTTCTGCTTTTGCACTTCCTCATTTTTCTGTTGCCATTGCCATGTAAGAAGTGCCGTTCACTTCCCACCATGAGTCTGAGGGTTCCCCAGCTGTGTGGAATTGCAAGGCCAATTAAACCTCTTTTTTTTCCCAGTCTTGGGTATGTCTTTATCAGCAGGATGAAAACGGACTAATACACTTACCTTAGAGGGTAGAGAAAAGGCCATGCTGGTTCACCCCTATACTCATGGGATCATTAGGAGGTTCTTTTTTTTTTTTTGAGATGGGGTTTCCCTCTTGTTATCCAGGCTGGAGTGCAATGGTGCCATCTCGGCTCACGGCAACCTCCGCCTCCTGGGTTCAGGCAATTCTCCTGCCTCAGCCTACTGAGTAGCTGGGATTACAGGCACGCGCCACCATGCCCAGCTAATTTTTTGTATTTTTAGTAGAGACGGGGTTTCACCATGTTGACCAGGATGGTCTCGATCTCTTGACCTCGTGATCCACCCACCTTGGCCTCCCAAAGTGCTGGGATTACAGGTGTGAGCCACCGCGCCTGGCCCAGGAGGTTCTTAAGGCCGGGGCACAGTGGCTCACACCTGTAATCCTAGAGCTTTGCTGGGTGAAGGCTGGCAGGGTCACCTGAGGTCAGGAATTTGAGATCAGCTTGGCCAACATGGCGAAGCCCTGTCTCTACTAAAAATACAAAAATTAGCCAGGGATGATGGGGCACACCTGTAATTCCAGCTATTCAGGAGGCCGAGGCTTGAGAATTGTTTGAATCCGGGAGGTGGAGGTTGCAGTGAGCCACTGCACTCCAGCCTGGGCAATAAAGTGAGACTCTGTCTCAAAAAAAAAGTTCTTAGGAAGTCAGAGGCTAGGAGAGAATTGGCCAGGAGGAGAATGAGTTCCACCTTTCTTGTTTCCTCATAAGCACCTTTACAGCCAAGAAACAGCCTTGTGAACCCCCCAAACAGAACAATGAGCTGTGGGGGTGGATGTTGTCCTTAGGCTCCCCAGCATTGGCTGAGGATGCCTTGATGTTGCACTGATTAGACATGATCCCAGAGACCACACAGTTATGAATGGGACTCCCCTCTTCCCTGGGGAACAGGAGTCTGTGAAAGGCTGGGGCTGAAGGGCAGGGCAAGGGTAAAGGAGACAGGTTTGGCAGCAGCCCAGAGGGCTGTAGGTGCTTTGCTCTGTGGCTCCAACATCAGATCCTCAAGTATCCTTGACTTGAGAAAGGAGCTGCCAACACAAAGTCCAGACAGGGCACATAGGTGGGAGCAGACATGCCAATCAGGGTGAGCGACAGGGATGAGCCAAAGTTGGGTTCAATATTCTGGACGTGGGTGACTGGAGGAATCAAAGTATTCTAGAGTTAGAAGTGACGTTAGAAGATTTAATCTTGTGCCCAGGACTAGATAGTGTCTCCACCTCAAACCTGTGGCCTCTTGGAGGAAAGCAAAAAGAGGAAACAAACATTATCTAGGGAGCCTTGGGGTCCACCAGACTCTCTGGCAGATCCTCTCCTGACCATGACTCCCAGGAGAACCCAGTCTCATGGTCTGAGTAGCAGAGCACTATGTAAAGGCTGTATGTTTGCCGCCCTGCCTCTTACTGGTTTGTGACCTTGGGCTTGTGACTCCTTACTGGGCCTTCTTCTCTCACCAGTAAGCTGAAGATAAGCTTTGCTGCTAGGATAGAAGGTGACATGAGATAAGGTTTATAAAACAGGGCATTTGCCTGACATCTACTTCCTCCTTGCCACCTGGAAGCCTCCAGTGTAACACCTGCCTGAAGTCACTGCTGAAGTACAATGTGTCTCTGACAATGAAATGTAACAGACATCATTTCTAGGGTACCCACTGTGTTGGGTAATGCGAGGCAGATGGACCGAGTACAAGACATGGGCCCCTACCTCTCAGAAAAGTAGCATCTTGGTTAGCAAAAGACATGCAAGCACAAACTTGTTAAATAATGAAGCGAATATAGCTACATGCAGAAGAATTATGAATCAAAAGGACTACTGGGATTTAGAAGAAGAGCTTAGCAGAGTTGGAGAGCTTCCTGGAGAAAATGTGTTCTGTGATAGACTCTGAAGAGCTGGTAAGGCTTGGAGGGTCGGCAGCTTTTGCTGTGAGTTGTCCGGGAACGATGGCATGGGTAAGATGTGGGCAGGAGTGGATTCAGAGCCCTGCTGGAATAGAGTTCTGAGGTCATGGGTGAAGTGGGCAGAGAGAGGTCTGGAGAGGTAAGGAGGACCAGGCAGTGGAACGAAGGTGCCACATCACCAGCAAAAGACCAAGGATTCTGTTGTAAGGGCCAACCAAGTCTAGAAGCACAGATTTCAGAGCAAGGGAGTCACATGATGAAAAAGGAATGGTGGAATGGAGGGGGATGCTGGATGGGAGGATTATCCAGAACGATCAGGGTGAGTGACAGGGATAAAACAGAGTTAGGTCCAATGCTCTGGGCCTGGGTCACTGGAGGAACCAAAGCATTCTAGAGCTGGAAGTGACCTTAGAAGGGGTAATCTTGTGTAGCCATTGAGAACAGATTCATGCCCTCCCTGGGTGCGCAGTGAGTTATTCCTCTCTTAGTTCTCTCAAGAGCTGGTTGTTGGAAAGAACCTAGCACCACCCCCCTCCTCTGCTATTGTCTTGCTTCCTCTCTCACCATGTGATTTCTGCACTTGGTGGCTCCCCTTTGCCTTCCGCCATGAGGGGACACAGCCTGAGGCCCTCATCAGTTGCAGATGCTGGGCTTCATTACAGCTTGCAGAAAACCATGAGCCAAATAAACCTCTTATTTTCATAAATTACACAGCCTTCTGTATTCGTTTGTAGCAACACAAATGAACTAAGACAGTACCCTCTATGGGGCAGTTTGTGCAGAGAGAAAAGGCCAGAGGGCCAAAGACTGAACTTTGAGTCCTGAGAGCAGGATCCAGGAGAAGGGGCAGTCAGAGGTGGGATGCAGCCCAGATGTGGTCCTGAGAGCAGGATCCAGGAGAAGGGGCAGTCAGAGGTGGGATGCAGCCCAGATGTGGTCATGGTGATCAAGGACATGGTGGTGAAGGTGGTCAGTGCTGTCCCAGGGCATGGGCACTTGACTCTGATCTCACCAGCCCCAGTGCAGCATATTATAGATGGCTGCAAATTCTCTGACACCTCTTCCACTGAGATGGGGTAGAGGGAGTCTTTGCTTCCTTCATTTAGACCTGAGGAGGTTCTGTGACTGATTCCCCCATAGAATAGAATGGAAGTTTAGCTGGGCGTGGTGGTGCACGCCTGTAGTCCCAGTTACTCCGGAGGCTGAAGCGGGAGGATCGCTTTAAACCCAGGAGTTCAAGGTTGCAGTGAGCTATGATCCTACCACTGCACTCCAGCCTGGGCGAGAGTGAGACCCTGACTCTTAAAAAAAAAAAAAAAAAAAAAGGCCTTCTCTTCCTGGATTTGGGAAAAGCTGGATTGAGAGGTCAAGAAAAAAAAAAAAAAAGGAATAAAATGGAAGTAATGTCATGCCAGTGTCCAGGCCCAGCCCTGAGAGACTGGCTTTTTGACCTTTTGAATCTGGAGCACTCAGTCTTGGAACCCAGCCACTGCGTGGTGAAGAAGCCCTGAGCAGTGGCTCAAGTGACGAGGCGTGAAAGCTCCCAGCTGGTAGCCAGCACTAACCTGCCAGCTGTGTCACAGAGCCCTTTGGAAAGAGGGTTTTAGTTGTGCTGCCCAAGCTAAGGCCACACGGAGCAGAGATATGCAGTCCCTGCTGAGCCCTGCTCTAAGTACAGATTTGTGAGCAAAACAAATGATTAACTAAATTTTGGGGTGGCTCGTTATACAGCAGCATCGGGTTTTCCCAGCGGATTCAGCCAACATGGCTGGGTCTCTCCAAGTTCATGGCAGATGGTGGGGGCCATGGGAACCTTCCTCTCTCACCGCTCCCCCTTTACTTTTGTTCTGGTGGCTGGTGACCTGCAGGTCAACTGTGGTCAGTGTTGGGGTGACTGGGAAAGGTCAGGTAGGTATTGGGAAAGGTCACACGGGGGGCCCATGTTGCCCCAACAAGAACAGAACAGAATGATCCCTGGCCTCTTGGCTACCCATTGGCAACAGCTTCCATTCCTTCCACTGACATACAGGTGGTGCCAAGGTGAGACTTGAAAATGAGTGGTGGCGAGACACCAAGACTATTCTTTTTATTTCTGGATGAAACATCTGCTTCATGCACTGCATGGCATCACATGAAGAGGGAAGAGCTTGTATCTCAAAGCCCGCTTTCTGTGCCATACACAGATGAAGACAGCATCTGCCGAGCCCATGCTGAGCCTGTCGCAGACATCGACTAGGAACTGGGGGCCTCTGCTGAACCAGGGGACAAGTCGCCGAAGCATTTAAACAGCTTGATACTTGTCTTTTTGGTACCTCGGTTTATTTAAAAAAGCATAGGAAATGAATAAAATGCCACCTAAAAAGTATCTGCAATGAATAAATAATTTCCAGTGAAGCACTGCAGACCCACACACACCAGTCCTCTAACCTTTACCAAGGCTATGGCCAGCGGGCGTGTGCTTGTCCCAGGTGACTCTTCCTTGAGACCTTTCCCTTCTGAGCAATGACCACAGCACTGGAGAGCAGTCCTGTGTGTGCTGGCCTTCCCCGTAGGCATGGCTGGCTTGCAGTAGGCTTCAATGAATGGCACTTGACTGTTTCCAGTGACCCTGAAATATTTTACATTAAGTGGCACCTGGGCTTTAAAGAAAAGAGCCAGGGTTCCTCAGGCTGGGCCCCTTCACTGAGGCACAGCTTCAGAAAATCCTGGTCTCAAGAGCCAGCACCTTGTCAGGAGTTTTGAGCCCTCAGCTGAAGGAAAATAGCCACATGGAGTTCTTGCATGTAACAGTGATGTTGGTGATGGTGACAAGCAGCCAGCCTGAAGATGGCCAACCCCACCTTGCGTGGAATGCAGGGCACCTAGTCCTGCTTGGAAGGGGCTAGGAGGCTGGGGAAGGTCGAGAATGGAGGGCCAGAGCTCCACACAGACTTCAGATAAGGGCTCTTCAGTGAGGGAGGGAACCCACAGCCCTCCTTTGCCCTTCGTGGAGGGTCAGCACCTCGGCTCACAAGGCCAAGGCGAGGCACTGGGCAGGAACCAGACTTTCAGAAGAGAAAGGTGCCATAGGCACCACCAAGGCCATCATTACATATCTTGTCCTCTGGAAAGTGTTCAAGAGGCCTTGGAGTACACACCATTTAGGAGACTATAAAATTCCTTTCATTCAGGTCACATGAACAAGTTGAGGTGGTGCGTTTCCAAGGTGAATTCATTGAACACAGTAAAGTATTTATTTTTTGAAGGAAGTTTTTGCCACAGAAATATTGAACTTGGGACTGTGCCAACAAGCTATAGCACAATCCCTCTCCTCACAGATTAGAGCAGGGACCACAAAGCAAACGTCCACAGGCGCTGGGCAGGTAATTGGTATAAATGAGGGTATGGGGCTGGATGTGGTGGTTCATGCCTGTAATCCCAGCACTTGAGGAGGCTGAGGCAGGAGGATTGCTTGAGTCCAGGAGTTTGAGATCAGCCTGGGCAACATGGTGAAATCCTGTCTCTAGAATAAATACAAAATTAGGTGGGCATAGTGGCAAATGCCTGTGGTCCCAGCTACTTGAGAGGCTGAGGTGGGAGAATCGCTTGAGCCTAGGAGGCAGAGGCTTCAGTGAGCAGAGATTGCACCACTGCACTCAAGCCTAGGCAGCAGCAGAGTGAGACTCTGTCTCAGATTAAAAAAAAAAAGAGGAATGTGAGGACATATTGGTCTCATGATCTATTTACCTGATTAGAGATTAATCCCAATCTTTTCTTTTCATTACAAGAAATGCAACTTGCCGGGGCATTGATAGGTATAAATAAACACAGCCTCATTGTGGGAGGCAATAGGGAGTAGTGTGGACTGCAGTGACCTGGTGATGCGGACATCCCATCTAAAGGCAGAGCTGCTGCTAAGCTCCAGCCAGTTGTTGCTAGGTGAGAACGTGAGTCCCAGCATGGCCAGATCTTCTGATCTGGATTGTTACGAAAAAATTTTGGGCCGGGCATGGTGGCCCATGCCTGTAGCACTTTGGGAGGCAGAGGCAGGAGGATCACCTGGAATCAGGAGCTTGAGACCAGCCTGGCCAACATGGTGAAACCCCATCTCTACTAAAAATACAAAAATTAGCTTGGCATGATAGCTGGTGCCTGTAATCTCAGCTACTTGGGAGGCTGAGGTAGGAGAATTGCTTGAACCTGGGAGGCTGAAGTTGCAGTGAGCCGAAATTACGTCACTACACTTCAGCCTGGGCAACAGAGCAAAATTCTGTCTAAACAAAAAAAAAAAAAAAAAAAAAAAAAAAGACAAAAGAAAAGAAAGAAAAAAGAATTTATGATTTTAAATGTTAGTAACTAATTCTTAAACAGACTCTGCAAGCCAAACCAAACATCCCTGTGGGCTGGATCATTTTGTAGCCTCTCCTGTGGGGGTCAGAGGCATGAAGGTGTTGTAGGCAGAATAACGGCACCCAAAGATGTCCCTGTCCTAATCCCACCTGTGGCTACGTTGCCTTGCATGGTAAAAGGCTCTTCCAGTGTGATGAAGGATCTTGAGATGGGGAGACGATCCTGGATCTTCCTGGTGGGCTTTGTAAATGAAAGAGGGAAGTGGAAGAGTAGTGTCCCAGTGATGCCATGTGAAAAAAAAACCTGACCAGCCACTGGAGCCTAGTGCAGCCAGCCTCGAGAAGCTGGAAACGGCAAGGAACCGGCTTCTCCCTAGAGCCCTCAGAAGCAGCACAGTTCTGCTTCTCGGTTTTCATTCAGGGATATCCAGTTTGGAATTCTCATCCCCAAGACTCTAAGATAGTGTGTTGTTTTTAAGCTACCAAGTAATGGGTTTCAGTGGCAACAGAAAACGAATGCAGGGGGCCCCTCTCTGGTATATATTTAAACATTTTTAGAGGATGAGAATATTCTCTAAATTTCTCTTTAAATGTCAAAGTATTGCTGCAGCTGGGAGAACCACACATGGAAACTTGAGGAAATTTCTCTTATTGCTAGGACCGCAGGACAATGGGATTCAAGATGAATTTCCACAGTGGGATACCACAAGGCAACCTAGAGAATCAGGAAGTCTCTCATCAAAGCAGATATGCGTCGATGCTGCTCAAACGCATACACCCTTTTCTGGCTGGAGAGGTTGTGAATTATTCCCATCTCCCGGGAATAGGCACATGTTTATCTAGTGGTTGGTAGAAGGCACATTCCAGGCATCCAAACCAGTTAGCATGAGCTGTTACTAAGTCAGCTGAAAAGAGCTAGGTGGTTATACATTTGACCTCTTAAATGCACAGGACCACCAAATAAATAATAATAAAAAGGCACATTGTCATTTTCATCCCAGGGACCCCACTGAGAGTAGGGGACTCAGGTAGGCTCCTTGGAATTGGAACCGTTGTCCTGAAGAGGGCAAGCCTCTGTTTAACACTCTGAATCCAGGGCTCGCTGTGACCCTGTCCTAGGTGACTCAGGCCTCTGTCCTCTCATTACAGGCTGGCTAACCACACAGGCTGAGTTGAGAAGGACATGAGCTGTCATGACTGTATCCAGATCCGAATTCATCATTTTCAATGTCTCGCCCTTAGAATGAGTCCACCGAGCAATGTGAAGTTTGAGCAATGTGAAGTTGGTGGTGTCCAGGAAAACCTCTGCTGTTCCTTCTGTATAATTCCTCTTCTGTAGGATTTCTGGTTAGAAACACCGAAGAGTGTCTCGGTGCCCTGCTTTATGAAACTCAGCAAAGTCTCTAGAATGTGTGAAGTTATTCTGCTGGCCCCACAGGCTCCTGAGTGTTCAGCAAAGGAATGTCTGTGTCCTTGCTACTTACATCCCCATTGCTGGGGTGGGAGAAGGTGTACGGTTCACTCTCAGACTCAGGAGGGGAGCAAGGAGGTGGCTCCTCAGTGGTCAACTTTGCAGTTGGGGCCCTGAAGTATATGGTGGGTGGAGAGGGAGGGCGGACCCCCATGGGGCCCTGGAATGGCCGGTAAGTGTCCACCTCTGGCTGGAGGAAGGACCCGCCGGAATCCTGCAGCAGATGCCCATACACCATGGTGTCTTCGATGACTGCATACACGTGGGAGTCATTGTCCTTTCGTCCTTTTGGAAAATTTTTTGGCTGCCTCGGCATCTCGGTATTGATGTTGCCATTATAGACACCCACGACAGGGCCCTTGTTTGTCTTCTTTTTCCTTTTTGGAAAAAGGGAACAAGACAGAAGTCAGAAAGGAAAGACTCTCAGGGGGCTACCATTGCTATGGTCCTGCTAGAGCTTGGATTCTTCCAGGTTCTGACCACGCCTTCCCCAAATCCCTCAAATTGCTCAGCATTTGAAACAGAAACTACTGTCCTCAGTAAACATTTAGAAGGGACCAGATTTTGTCTCCAGGTTTCAAAGTGGAAACAGATCACAGGTGGTCAGAGAGTGGTTTAGACAGAGCACCTCCAACACTATCTGTGCTCAACTCGTTTTTGATAGATGTGGTATCCAATGGCGGAGACATCTGACAATCCACTTACCCTCCTTCTACCAGAAACAGGCAGTGTCCCAGCCCTTCTAACCCACATCAGGCTCAGGCATGCCCAGGTCAACCTCCCGGCACTCTCACTACTTTGCTGTAGCTCGTGCTTCATCTCTGTTTTGCAGGGGAAAAGCTCTGACCATCTAGATTCTAAATGGTGATATACGAGACTCGGGAGGCCAGGTTACATCTTAGTTTTCAGCATGAGATGGGGAGAGAACTCAGCATTAGCAGAGACCCAGTGCCTCAGTAGTCACCACCAATAGAGGAAAGGGCTAAAAAAAAGACAAAATTCAGGCTGCAGTGTCAGAGTTCTTCAATAACACCATTAGCGTTTGGTTTTCAATGTTCCTTAGTGCTTGGGCGTGGACGGGCATTAGCGCTTGCTGCCATGGGAAACAAGGCTTTGCTCTCCATCTCCATGAACTAAACAGCAGGGAATGCTGACTTTTTAGCCGACCAGTGATGCAAATGGAGGACATTAGCTCAATTAGCATAATGGACCATATAAGGCACAGGCTGGCAGTTCATAATTGTGGACAGGCTCTCTGTACTTTGCCGAGATAAAAATAAATCTGGTACCTTTAGCTTGTAACACTGAGCCTCTGGCCAGGATGACGGGTTCCTAAGGCTCCCGCCTGAAGCCTGGTAATGTTTGTCTCCACTAAAACTCTTGTCATGCTGTCCTGAAACCGACTGTTTATTTGCCTGAGGAGTCTCTTCAGTCGCCCTGCCCCCATAGACGTGATTGTCTTGCTCATCACTATTCCCAGTACCTCAGAGTCCTAGTGCCCAGGTGACACTCACTCAGGAAGTACCCGCTTAGTGAACAAGGTGGATGGCATCGTGTCCCCTCCTTCTCACTGCACAATCTGTCCGTCCTCCTACACCAGCTGGAGCATGAACGGGAGTTATGCAAACCTCCCCACCAGCAGCCTCACACAAGCAAGGCCTGTAGCAAGGCTGGGCTGCTGATTCTCAGGCCTACACTGGAGCTGTTTTGAGATGAGGCAAGTGCTGGGTCTCTTTCCTCGTCCAATTCCCTCCGGATAAGGAAGCTGGGGCCCAGTGTTAATGCCACGCTTCCCCAGCTGGACGGGATATGCTGTGCACCCCAGCTGGGAAAATTCCCTGAGAGAAACAGTAAGGTGGTGTTTCCTTAAAAGAAGTCCTTTCCCCCGATGTGATATAGGCACAGCCGCTTCTCATGGAGAAAGACCTCCAGCAAGCCAGTCCTTCCTCATCAGCAGAGACATGTGGAGACAGTCTTGGTGTAGACCAGGAATTTCAGTTGTTTTCTCTGGTTCACAGTTAATTTTTAAAAAAGAATTTTTTGAGGTTGGCTTTTTGGAAGGTCAAATCATGTTAAGGAAAATAGCTGTCTCCTCTCTCCCATGGCTTTAATCAGAAATAGGAGCAGAATTTAAACAGTTTGGTGGCAGCATGGACTCTGTCAAAGGTCAACGTTCCTCTTATAAAACAGAAGCTCAGCCAGGTGCAGTGGCTCATGCCTGTAATCCCAACGCTTCGGGAGGCCGAGGCGGGAGGATTGCTTGGGGTCAGGATTTCAAGAACAACCTGGCCAACAAGGTGAAACCCCATCTCTACAAAAAAAAAATAAAAAGAAAAGAGAAAAAAATTAGCTGGGCATGGTGGTGTGCACCTGTAGTCCCAGCTACTCAGGAGGCTGAGGAAGGAGAATCACTTGAACCCAGGAGGCGGGGGCTGCAGTGAGCCGAGATCGTGCCACTGGCAACAGAGCAAGACTCTGTCTCAAAAATAAGTAAATAAACAAAACAGAAGTTGTCCTCCCGAGGGCATGGAAAGAGAGGCTAAGGCAGTTAACTGGGTCTTCCTTCCTCTTGGCCACGGGCCCAGCCTCTGTTATGTATCTGGAGCCCAATAAACAAGCATAAAACAGTTTGTTTAAGAAACTGTAGGAGAACAAGCCGGGACAACACACATTTGTTCTCCTTAAGGTGACAGAGGGAGTGGTTCCAGAGGCAAGGTCTGGGAGAGCCTACGTGAGTATTTTTTTGCCACGATCACCCCTGCTTGATCAGTCGACTGAACAAACAGCAAGCCGCTTGCAGGGGACTTGTGCTAAGGCAGCTGTGCCAGGAACTACAGGTGAAAACATCACATGTGTTTTTTGTCCCCCCTCAACCTCAGGCATGGATTTTTTTTTTTTTCCTGAAAGCATGACTCACATCCAGCAACATTATTTAACATTGATCTTTGGCGGAAAAAATGGGAAGCAAGAAAACAAAGTCAATAATTAATAATCCACCCAGTCTGTGTGATCTGAGGAGGCGTCAAATCAGATAAAGACTGTAAGAGATTCCACCTACTTCTTTTTCACACAGCAAATGATGAGTCCGAGGGCAAACAGCAGTAAGGCTCCACCTCCCACCACAGCAATGAGGATGACAGTCAAGTCTGTGAGCAGACATAAAGAGACAGATGAGGAGGCAGCTGGGGTTAGCTCTATGTTGAACTCGAGGCGTCTCCAAAGGTGGCTGCCATCTTTCCAAAGGTGGAGCACCATACGTGGGGCTCCTTGTGCGCACATGGGGCTCCTCATATCACAAGGTGTTTATTTCCTTTCCTATTGGATCTGGGTCAGCCAATATAAGGCAACTGTGCCTGTTCTGGGCCTAACTTTTTCGAGGATGTCAGCTTGCACTTTCTCTCTGAGGGAAAGCCAGCTACTATGTAAGAAGTCTGACTATGCTGAGACCACCATGCTGGGAGGAAGCCCAAGCTAGCCATGTAGAGACTCCGCAGGGGAAAAAACCAACCCAGCCAAAGGTGAGAACCAAGGCCCCAGACATATGTCTCCAGTTGAATTCTCCAACTCATCCTCTCTATATATTCAAGGCTTCTGGCTGGGACCCAGATATCTTCGAGCACAGACAAGCCACATTTCTGTGCCCTGTCTGAATTTCTGATCCATAGATTGTGGGTAAACAAAATGGTTATTGTTTAAGCCACCAAATTTTGGAGTAGTTCGTATGTAGCAATGAACAACTGAAACAAACTGAGGGACCTACCGGATCGACTCCAAAGGCTACTCCTGGCTGAAACCAGGTATGTTCCACCGATTGCCACAGTCTGTCTTGGAGAAGAGAAGAGCAGAGGGGGGTAGGAAAAAGCAGGAAGTCAAAAGTTAGAAGTGAGGCAGCTAAGGGGAGGGTCGTTTCGTTTGTGCCGTCCTTTTCCTGCAGCTGCACAGAGGAAAAGGAGAATAAATCAGAGGGGGACCCTGTACCAAACAGGGATTTGGAATGTCTTACTTGTTCACAAAGAAAACAAACAGTGAGATCCAAAAGAAAGAGGAATGGAAAAAAATGAGAGAAAGTGAATCTAAGAGAGGAAGAAAACACAGGAGGTAACCTGTGAGTGTGGAGAGGCTCCCACTTGTGGCTTTTGGCTCCCACCAGTTCTCTTGTGGCTAACCAGTTGTATAGCTTGGGTGGACCCTCAATCACTCTGACCCCCAGAAAGGGGAAGGGAAAGAAGCAGCCTCCATGGTCCCTTTTGCCTCTAACACGGTGATGCTCTATGACTTTTGCTGAGTGAAGGGCGACATGGCCCCACCACTGCCTGCCCTGCCATACCTGCACTCCCTTGCTTCAGTGGTGCCCATGACTTTGAGGAATAAAGGTAAACTCATGATCCTGGCTCCAAGACCTCCCACTGAGGGTATTTCATGGATTCCAGTGTTTCACTGAGACTAAATAAAAATCCATGTACCTGTCAGACTTTTCAAGTCCCCATATTTTAATTCCCGACACTGAATCCCATGATACTTTTATGAGGTAGCTATTATTATCTACTCTCTGTAGAATAGGAAGATCACAGGCATGAAGAGACTTCCCCTATGTAAAAGACAGATGAATGGTAAAAGATGCTGGTAGATTGACTAAAAAAACCTAGGCTGACCAAAAGAATACAGTCAAAGGGATGGTGTGTGAGTTACTAACCTAAAAATATCAAGAGACCTTATATGCCTCCTCCAGTCTCTTGTGGATCTTTCTGCCTCTGCCATGAAAACAGCCCAGACTGGAGGATAAGAGACCATATAGAGTCAAGCCAGATAATGTCAGTTGTCTCAGATGATCTTGGCTGAGCCTCAGCTTTGTGAAAGCACCAAGCTAAGATTGGCAAAGTCTTCTAGCCAACCTGCAGCTGCCTGCCAGTGCATAAATGATTGAGCCCAGATAAGTCCAGCTCAGACAAGAATTGCCCAGCCAATGTTGGAGCAATAATAGAGGCTGCTTCTAAGCAGCTATGTTTTGGGGTGGTTTGTTATGCAGCACTATAGATGCAATAGCTGACCGATACATGGACAGTCAGGACTCAATCTGTGTTTCTGGCTTGTCTCCAGGCTTGCTCCCTATCCTTCAGCTGACAATTTTCTGTTTATCACCATCCCCAAAGACCCTGAAGGACCTTACCCATAGACTTTGGGGTAAGCGTCACCCAGAAGAGCAGGTCTAGCTGCTTGCCGCTTGCAGGACTGCAGTTAGAGATGTTGACCCAGAAGCTCTGATGGTGGAAGCTTGGCTTGGGGAGCACATCCTCATCCAGGCTGAAGATCTCCTCGGCCCGGGTACGCTGTTCCTGGATGATCATGAATGCACGCCCTGTCTGGCAGACCACACCGGTCCGCTCCTTGACGAAAGTCAGGCAGGCCACCTGGTCTCTAGGCACGCTGATGTTCCAGGACACTGAGGTGAGGGATGGCAGGCCCCGGTCCCAGTTGGGGGTCCTCAGGTAGACCTTGCTTTTTGTGTCGGGAGTCACCGTGAAAATGCCTTCCTCTGTAGGAAAGGGAGGGAGATCCAGACACATGTTGTTTTAATCAGTCAACATGGAGGGGAAAGGGAGCAGTGGAGGACACGAAGTGGAACTGTCCAGAACATTGCTGTCTAACAGAACTTTCTGCTATGATGGACATGTTCTAGATCTGCACTGTCTGATAGGGTCGCCACCAGCTACACATGTCCGCTGAGCCTTGAAATGTGCCCAGCATGACCAAAGAACTGCATTCTAAATTTGTTTCATGTTCATTGGTTATTATGATTAATTATTTTTGAGACAGAGTCTCACTCTGTTGCCCAGGCTGGAGTGCAGTGGCACAATCTTGGCTCACTGCAACCTTTACCTCTCAGGTTCAAGTAATTCTCCTGCCTTAGCCTCCTGAGTAGCTGGGACTACAGGCATGCACCACCACACCTGGGTAATTTTTGTATTTTTAGTAGAGTTGGGGTTTCACCATGTTGGCCAGGCTGGTCTTGAACTCCTGAGCTCAAGTGATCTGCCCGCCTTGGCCTCCCAAAGTGCTAGGATTACAGGCGTGAGCCACTGTGCCCGGCCTCGTGTTAATTGAAATTCAAATAGTTACACGTGGCTAGCACCACTGTATTGGTCAGTGCAGGAGCAGTCTCAGTCAGAGGAGATGCTCAGGACTTTTGAAAAAAAAAAACAGGCAAACAAAAACCAGAGCTTTTCTGAAGGGAAGCTGGTGGTTATCTCAGCTTCCCCTCAGAAATACTCTTAACATAGCTATTACCTTCATCTGCTGCCCTGCTCCAGGGTGGGACTGGTATATACTGATTTCTGTTTGAGAGATTAAAATATCTTCAGGTTCTGCAAGGCTGAAAGAGCTCCTGACATGTCAATAATCCTTTCCTTACCTTCAGGAGAGATAAATCCCACACATTCCACACTGATGAGAATGTGTCTTATTTGCAAGACTCCACAGAAGCAGTTTCTCTGGTAACCTTGGAGATATCAGGCAGCCTGGACCGACCTTAATCTTATGACCAAAGATTCTTCTCCCTCCCACTCACACCTCTGAGAACAAGAGTATAAAATAAACACCAAACAAAGGTCTTGGTCCATTTTAATGTGGCCTCTAACTTAATGTAACTGTTCTTGGAGCAACTTGTAATAGTGACTGTGACTTTTAAAATCAACCATGTAGAAGTCACATTGTGAGGCATTTAGGCCTCACTTACTGCCTTGGAACATGGAGACCATGTGCAGCGTCCCCGGAGGGTTGGGTCTGCCGAGCCGTGCTGCTGTGGAACAGGACTCTGGCTCCGGAGACTCATCTCCCTCCCAACGCTCCTCCCTTTGTGCTCTCTGTACTGCACTCTGAATTGTAAAAGCAGAGCCATAAAAATGTCTGCCTAAGGATTTTCAGGTCACTACCTTAAAAATCCAGGACTGGGGAATATTTGGCTATTTCTCATTTATGCCCTGCCTGCTTCCAAAAAAGTCTCAAACCTGATTATGTGTTTTGCTGCCTACCAACCATCGCCTCCCACTGTTAGAAACATTTTTCTTATTTCTAATCTCGGGAATTTTCCATGCTAGGTTAATGGTAAAGTCAGGAGTAGGACTCACTATCTTTCAGATTTCTTGTGCAAGGACTGGCATACTGAGCTATCCCTTTTCTCCAAACTGGCAACTTAATTAAGGTGATCACAAAACTAAAATAAAATGAATGCCCAAACTAAGGGGGCATGGACATGGGGGAGACCCCCCCTTACCTTTGAAATAAGGTATAAAGGACACCGCCAGGCCCTGCCTGGAGGTCTCTTGCCGAAAGCTGGGGGCAAAGGTGCGAAGGGTCACCGAGACGTTCTGCTTTACTTGGATCTGCTCAATAGAGCCTCCTGGGCAGAAGAAGCCAAAGTACAGGTCCTGGCCGGGTATGGCACTGGCCACGAGGTAGCTGAAGCTGGTGCTGCAGGGCTTCTCATGAGTGTGCTGCTGCAGCTTCTGGGCTGGCACCAGCACCAGGCTGAGCTTGTCCTTGGGCACTAGCAGCTTCCAGGAGAAGTCGTGAAGCTCCACGGGCAGCTGGAGGATGTCACCGGGTACCTGGAGTGGGTAGGACTTCCTCTGGCAATATCGGTGGTCTGTGCAGCCTGGAAGAAGTAGGGCATGGCAGCCTCGCACACACGAGACCAGAAGGGCACCCTCCCCAGCTCTCCCGACAGCCTGAGGCTGGGTGTTGCACGCTGTTTTCTAGCATTCCCTCCACTCTCTCACATTCTTACTGTCTGCTAAACCGGGAGACAAACTTCTGAGGAGTATTCAGGGTTGAAATTTCCTTTCCCTTTTTGCTCAAGTTATTTCTTCTGTGTATCTGTGTCTTAGATGCTAAGTGTCATGGGGGTAGGGCACAGGTTTCACTCCACCCAGACGTGTGGCCCAGTGTCTGTTCTGGGCAGTGGTTGGAGCTATGAGTGGCGTTGGGGGGATCTCAGTTCACCTTCTAGTTCTGCCACTGCCTAACAGGGTGATCTTGAGCAGGCTACTTTGCCTCTTGTGACCTTAGCTCCTGCATTTGTAGAGACTTTAAGAGCACACATCAGAGGTCAGGGTAGCCCAGCAGGGAGGTGGCTGTTGGTTTACTGGCCTTCAGTCATCACAGGTTTTTTTTTTTTTTTTTTTATGAGACAGAGTCTCGCTGGGTCGCCAGGCTGGAGTGCAGTGGTGTGATCTTGGCTCACTGCAACCTCCACCTTGCAGGTTCGAGAGATTCTCCTGCCTCAGCCTCCTAAGTAGCTGGGACTACAGGTGTGTGCCACCATGCCTGGCTAAGTTTTTTTTTTTTTTTTTTTTTTAGTAGAAATGTGGTTTCACCATGCTGGCCAGGATGGTCTCAATCTCTTGACCTTGTGATCTGCCCACCTTGGCCTCCCAAAGTGCTGGGTTTACAGGTGTTAGCCACCGCACCTGGCCCATCAAACAGTTTTTAAGTGACTACTAGCACATGTCCAGTACTGGTAGGGGCTAACTGGAAGAAAAATGGAACAAGCCAAAGTTATTGACTTCAGGAATCCTAGTCTTGTGCAAGAGAAGACAAGAGGGCAGTGAGTGCGGAAGCTGCAGGGAATAGAGATGGGAGAGGCTGGGGAAGGCTGAGCAAAGGAGGGGAAGATTGGAAGCCTGGGCAGAGAGACATAAGGCTGGACATGGAGCAGTACAATGCACTTCTGAGGGCTGCAGGCTCCACCCGAGGCTGGTCCCACAGGGATGTGTCACACTCGCTCCGTTTGCCTCTTGGTCACCTTTGCTCACCTGGACTGTGGGTGGGCATTTTGGATCCTATGATTTACAACCTACCCAGGGAACCCCACTAAGGCAAGGCAGGGAGAGAAGAGCCATCCATAGCCCAGGACGAATGCACTAATTCAGGGGCGTACTTATGGTTTTTTCCACATTCATCCACAGACGTGTGAGATCGTCACAAAGGAAGGAGATCTTGTGTTTGGAGCCAGATGTCAGGGTGAGGTTGGTACTGCAGGTCCGAGATTCCAGACACACGAAGCAGCCAGGGACAAACCTGCGGCTCTGTTTGACAGGCCGTGGCTCGATGGTGAGTGACATGTTCCGCTCGTTACTCAAGTCAACCACATAGATTTTATCTGAAACCACAAACAGAAAACAGGCATGAAGCATGGATCAGCAGCGACCACAGGAAATGGCAAAAATTAGTAGAAAACCTCTCCTGAGGAATAAAATGGCATATCACATCATGGATAGATAATGATACGTTGGGAAAACGTATCATTAAGGCAACAGCAATAGCTATAAAAGAAAGTTAAGAAGAAATAATGGACTTCATTGCAATAAAAACAGAGAAAATAATTATAATGTGGAATAAACAAAAATTATAAAAGCAAAAAAAGATTAAGACATCTGACGATAGGTACCATAAATAACATTAGGGGACAAGGACACACTGGGAGAAATGTTTGCAATATAGAGTGATGGAGCAGCTCACAGAAAAGGAGACATAAATGACCAAATATTCAAACTACAGAAAGTTCTTAATGCTCCTTGTAATCAGAAAAAGCAAGTTTAACAAAGTATTACTGTATCCCACTCTTCAGATCGGAGGGGCGGGGGGTGGAAATGTAGATATTTGGCCATATTGAAAGCTGGGGAGGCTACCGGAAACAGGACCTCTCCGACACAGCTGTATGGAGGGAGCCTGTTACAGGAGCATGGGAATTAGTAAAAGTATAAAATCTTGTTCCTTCTGGGAACCAAACAGTGTGAAATGGCCATGTGTGCCCACATTTCACTGCAGCACTGTGATTGTGGAAAACTAGAGACCACCTTATACTAGAATAAACTATGGGGACATCCATGAATGGAATATTATGCAGCTGTTAAAAAGAATGAGGGAGGCCAGCCGAGGTGGCTCATGCCTGTAATCCCAGCACTTTGTGAGGCTGAAGCAGGCAGATCATTCGAGGTAGGAGTTCAAGACCAACATGGTAAAACCCTGTCTCTAATAAAAATACAAAATTAGTTGGGCATGGCTGTATGTGCCTGTAATCCCAGCTACTTGGGAGGTTGAGGCAGGAGAATTGCTTGAATCCAGGAGGTGAAGGTTGCAGTGAGCCAAGATCGTGCCACTGAACTCCAGCCTGGACGACAGAGCAAGACTCTGTCTCAGAAAAAGAAGGAGATTTGGAAACCTAAATATAATATTGTGCAAAACAGCAAGTTGTAGATAATATGTAGAGTATGATACAATGCAAATGGTAAAATCTCTCTATGAAACAAAATAGCTATTTATACGTACAGACTTACATATGCAGATAAAGAGAAAAAAGATCTGGGGAGAAATATGACAAATCTGTGACTGTGGTTACCTGAGGGGAGGAGCTTGGGAGTGGAGAGGATTTTAGCTTTGCCTTTAATATTTAAATTTCTAACAAGAACATATTTACCTATTTCTTGTATCATTTGGAAAAACTGTCTGATTATCAGTGATTTCTATAATTTTGCCATTAGAAATAAATGAATAGTGCCAGGCGTGGTGTCTCACACCTGTAATCCCAGCACTTTGGGAAGCTGAGGCAGGTGGATCACTTGAGGTCAAAAGTTCGAGACCAGCCTGGCCAACATGGTGAAACCGTGTCTCTACTAAAAATACAAAAATTAGCCAGGCATGGTGGTGTGCTCCTGTAATCCCAGCTACTCGGGAGGCTGAGGCACAAGAATTGCTTGAACCTGAGAGGTGGAGGTTATAGTGAGTCAAAATCATGCCTCTTTATTCCAGCCTGGGCAACAGAGCAAGACTGTCTTAAAACAAAAAAATAGGGATACGTTTTCAACTCTTTAGAATAGATTACCAGATTACTTTATAAAAAAGTCATTTCACTTTTTAATGTTATCCCTAGAAAGCGCTACACCACAGATGCCTGGGGATCAACTTTTACTGAGTTGCTTTTCAATTTCATTCATTCTTCTTTTATAAAAAAAAAAAAAAAAAAAGCATCAGATTACGAAGGCGCCCGTGGAAAGTGGGGCTATCTTTGCAAGTCAAGGGTGTTGACAATATCACCCAACAGTGCCAGCGAATGAATTCAATTCTAGCTGGGAAAGCTCTCTTTCCCAAAAGACCTGCTAAACTTCCTTCTTCCTCATAACAGGAACCATATAATTGGTGGAATTGCTCCTTTTGAACTGGCTGCTGGGGAGCTCAGTGTCAAATTAGAAGCACAATTAAAAAAAATGTTTTATGGCTGTCATATCTGTTAATTGCTTTTTGTAGTTCACGGCGTCTATTTGCCATGTAAATTTTGACATTGTATCCAGTAGTGCTTTAGTTAGAGAGATGCCAAGTCTAGAGCTGAAGTACATATTCTAATGCTGCTAACTTAAATATAATTAGATTTAGAAAACAGTCACCTTTTCAATCACCTAGCCCCACATTCACCTCATTTCTTTTCTTTTTTCTTTTTTTTATTGAGATGGAGTTTCACTGTGTCTCCCAAGGCTGGAGTGCAATGGTGCTATCTCAGCCCACTGCAACCGCTACCTCCTGGGTTTAAGCAATTCTCCTGCCTTAGCCTCCTGAGTAGCTGGGATTACAGGCATGCACCACCACACCGGGCTAATTTTTGTATTTTGTTTTTTAGTAGGGACAGTGTTTTGCCATGTTGGCCAGGCTGGTCTCAAACTCTACCCACCTCAGCCTCCCAAAGGGCTGAGATTACAGGTGTGAGCCACCGCGCCCAGCACATTCAGCTCATTTCTTACTGTCCTTCAAAACTCACCTTCATTGTTACCTCTAGGACAGCCCCCCTGCCACCCCAAAGCCGGGTTAGGAGCCCCTTTGCTTCTGCAGTCCCTGCTTACCTTTATGAAGGCCCAGCCACACGCTGCCGTAGTCTCCCCACCTACTCTTCCCTCATTTGCATTTTTCTAAAACCATGCATGCACATACTTTAAAGCAGAGGTTCTCAGTCTTTATTATTATCGTTACTATTTGGGACAAGGTCGCACCCTGTCACCCAGGCTGGAGTGCAGTGGCGTGATCATGGCTCACTGCAGCCGCAACCTCCCAGGTTCAAGCGATTCTCCTGCTTTAACCTCCTGAGTAGCTGAGGCTACAGGTATGCGCCACCATGCCTGGCTAATCCTTTTAAATTTTTTGTTAAGATGAGGCGTCCCTATGTTGCCTAGGCTAGTCTTGAACTTCTAAGCTCAAGCGATCCTCCTGCCTTGGCCTCCTGAAGTGTTGGGATTACAGGTATGAGTCACCACAGCTGGCCTTCAGCCTTCTGAGCGGGATGGTTCTTTGTTGTGGGCTGTCCTGTGCACTGTGGGACGTTTAGCAGCATCCCTGGCCTCTGCCCACTAGATGCCAGTAGCACATCCCCCTCCACTGACAACCAAAACATCTCCAGACATTGTCAGATATGTCCTGGGGGCAACACTGCTCCCGGTTGAGAACCACTGGCTTAAAGAATCAAATAGTTTGAGAAGTTTTATTATGAAAACAAAACTCCCCCATACCTTTCCACCACTCTCCAGAACAACAACTTTCAACTCTTCTAGCAGCCTATTTATTTATTTATTTATTTATTTTGAGACAGAGTCTTGCTTTGCCCCCCAGGCTGGAGTGCAGTGGCGTGATCCCGGCTCACTGCAACCTCTGCCTCCCGCGTTAAAGCAATTCTTGTGCCTCTGCCTTCTGAGGAGCTGGGACCACAGGCATGTGCCACTATGCCTGGCTAAATTTTTTGTTTGTTTGTTTGTATTTTTAGTAGAGTCGTGGTTTTGCCACATTGGCCAGGCTGGTCTCAAACTCCTGGCCTCAAGTGATCTGTCCGCCTTAGCCTTCCAAAGTAGCAGGCTCTTTTAAGAATTACCTTCATATCACTCAATAACATGCTCTGTTCCATTGCTGCCTGTGGATCTTTCAGTTTCAGGCACTGTGTATTGGCTTCCCACTAAGAAAAATATGGGTTTCTCCTCCTTCACCCCATGCCCCCTCCACACCCCACACCCTCTCCACATCCCACAGACTAGCGAACACTCACACCACACACAGTTCCCATTCCCATTCCCTCATCTTCCTGAGAGTTAGCATGACATGTACAGTTAGACCCTCATTCTGTGTTTATGTTATCATGGCTATGCGGTGATATTAAGTGTTTAGGTAGTCATACTATAATGCACACTACAATTACTTTTCCTTTCCGCACAAAATTTTGTGTTCCCTGGAGTTAATTCTTGTCATTTTAATCATTTCCTTAGTTTCTATGTACTTTTTCGAAATTTGACAGCAAACTCTCTCCCACCTGTATAAATGTCCTTTCAATAAACATTAGGTATTTCCTCAACTTCTGAAGAAATCGCTCCAGAGCTTTTCAACGCTCTAATCTAAAGGGGCTGCTGTTGATGCCTGGTGCCCAGGTGTGGTCCTGGGGCTTCTTCACTGTCATCCTGGAATTCCCTTTGCTTCTCTTTTGGACTAGATCCTGGGCTTCCTGGATCTATCTTTTTCTTTGATTTTTACTTTCTTTTTAGGTAGATTACAGCCTTCAGGTGCTTCTTGAGAAAGTATATATGGTCTAAAAGGTCTTTATTCTATCTTCATACTAATTGTTCAGCTTGGTATAAAATTCTAGGTTGGAAATAATATTCCTTCAGAATTTTGAAGATCTTTCTCCATTGTTTTACAATACCCAGTGTTGCTGATGTTTATTGCCATTTGGTTTCTTCTTCCTCTGTATAAAACTTTTTTTACCTCTTCTCTGGAAGCTGGCAGGGTCTCTGTGTCCCTGATGTTCTGAAATTTTACAATACTGTGCCTTGGTGTCTATTTGTATCCATTGTGTTTGGTGGACCCTTCCAATGGGCAACTCATATTCATCATTCCTGGCAGATGTTCCTGAAATATTTTTTGATAATTTCCTCTCCTTTATTTTTTCTCTCTAAAACTCCTTTTATTTGGATACTGGGCCTCCCTGACTGGTCCTTGAATTTTATATTTTCTCTTCCTTTCTATCTCGCCAGCTTTTCCTTCACTCCACTTTCTGGGAGATATTCTCATCTTTACCTTTCAGCCCTTTAGACTCTTTCATTTCTACTAACATATTTTTAGTCTCCAGGAGTTCCT